CATTTGTTTTAATGACCTTAATGTTATGATCTTTTCTGTCAAATTCTGTTTATTTGTTACTGAAACAAAGTCATGAAAAGTTTTTTCTTCTATTTTTAGTAATGGTGATCATATTAAATTTGATAAAATCTGATGCCAAAAGAATGATCTCTGTAAATGCACAAGCCAGTTGGTAAAGTGATTTTGAGAAGCTGAAAATAACAGATGTGAACAAACAATGAACCATGCAATGACCAAAACAACACATGAAGAACCATAACTATACCAAACGCTGATCTGCCCAGTGACCAACAACACATCAACCTTGATCGGCAGACCATTTCCTAAAACTGTCTACTGAAGATTCCATATATACCCACTCATATGTTGAATCAAACTGGAAACAACAATCATCCTGATCTGCCATAACATAATGCACTTGCTACAGTGTGTTTGTTCTACTGATTGCTCCAAACAAAATGCAAACACCCAGATATACTGGTGCATTATGAACTGGCAGATCTGGGTCTCTGCAGTTTGCAGTTGGATATTTCTTCAAAGACTTTTTCTCTAAACTTAAATAAGACAGTGGCAGCTGTCAGAATGTGTAAATCTCCTTTATTGATAACAGTGGACAATTGGTATGGCAAAAATTTCAAAAGAATTAAAGTTTTATATAAAAAAAATTTCCTTGAACAAATAACATAAGCTGTTTCAACTTGTGCTTCTTTGATTATGAGATTCATATTTTAACATTACTGGTATGAGATAATAAAGTTTTGAGAAGTACATACCTATGTTTACTCTGTACTTTAAGAAGTCAATACCTCAGTCCAAGGTGATAAATTGTACAAGCCTAATGAAGCTTAAAGAGGGGAAAAAAAGACCTTGAAATCATTCTTCTACTGAGCTCAAAAAAAAACAAAGGTCAGAGGTAAACAGCTGATAACATCATCCATCCTAATCAATATTTACACCTGAGTAAATCAACATTGTTATTTAGAAAAGAAAATGACCTATCATAGACATATAGCATAGTTCATTTACTCTGAAATTGTAGAAATACATGTATTTAGAAAATCTATACAATGGTAATGACTTTTGAATAGTAAGGGATGATTTTATTAAGATCATGAATCAAATTGTCCAGAGTGATTAATTGCACTGTATGTGTTTGTGTGTGTGATGTGATGTGATTATGATTTTTAACGTAGCTTTAAAAAAATTTCAGCCCTATCACTATGATGTCTGCAGTGTGGCAGTTTATAGTGATGTCTAACACTGGAGATCATGCTGGAGACATGTAGCATTATGTCCCACCCAGTCACATTATCCTGACACCTGGCTGACCAACCAGTCTTAACACTAACCTCTTAATGCTGATCGACAATGACAATCGACAATTGAGGAAGCTGTTAGTACCATTTTTGTAAGTCTTTTGTATTGACTTGACTGGGAATCAAACCTACATATATATACATACACATACATACATGCATCCATCCATACATACATGTATAGAGAGAGACAATGACAGAGGTGAGCATGAGGTTCTATTAACCAGTAAACTTCATATACCAACAGATGGAAAGCAATATGCCAGTGTTCAAGAAGGTTCAATGAAACAATCAGCATCTGTCAATTTGTTTGATTAATGCAAAAATTCGAAATTTGTTTTCAAATTGAAACAAGTCTTGTTTCTGATATATGTTATATGACATTATGTAAAAGTCAATGACATCACAACAATGCCATATAATGAGTGATATGAAAAATCACATGACATCATGTCAGCTAATGAAACAGCATCTGAAAAATTTGAAAAATGTTAATCAAAGTCAAATAAAATGTATAAATTTCAGCCAGTTCTAAATTGATGCAAAATACAGTCATGGCAAGATGCCTTTTTTAATTTCTGTGAGGTAGAGATTTCTGAGCTTGACAGAACTATATACTCTGAACTGTTATCAGCTCAGCTGATATTCCAAGTAGTGTCTGGGAATAAATGACAGTTAAGACAAAAATTGGGACAAAAGCAAAAGCATGTTTTATCTGAATTCATGTTATAATGAAAAGCATTATGGGATTCCTCTGACTGTGCATGCATTCTTGCAAATGTGCATCCATGCATGTGTGTGTGTATACACATTAAAAATGCACACAGAAAAACTCTTTAGTATTATTTAAGAATACAAAGAACTTGACTAATGTCTTTAATCCAGAGATGTTGTAATAATCAGTAGCAATCTTGGTTTTCATCCAAAGGATGCATGTGTTAGAATTGGAGGATTCATAAGCACAACAGTGGCTATAATTAAGGCCAATTTAAGGCAAAAGTATCACAAAGAATGGCTGAAATCCCTTTTGGGAAGATAAACCCTTTCAAAAAAATGTGAACATGAAGTGCTATAAATAGCTGTTGTTGTGGGGCTTAATGCCATTTTTCAGCACATGATAGGCTATACATGGCAGCCAGTATTAATGGTGGAGGAAGAAACTGGGAAATCCCATAAAAGAACCACCTACCCACAAGAAGTTGTTGTTGTGCTTAACGCCATTTCTCAGCACACGATAGGCTATTCATGGCGGCCAGTATTAATGGTGGAGGAAGAAACCGGGAAATCACCGGAAAGAACCACCGACCCACGAAGCTACTGGCAAGCTTTCTCACATATCCACATTCGATGAATCCTCGACTGGAACCCATGCAGACAGAGGTGAGATGGCAGTGGTCTGTAACGGACATCGATTTAGACCACTCGGCCACTCAAGGCCCCCCAACTTTGGATTGTAAACCCTACCAAATAATGATAAACAAATACAGTATGATACAAAACAAAACACCAAAGGCAAACATGTTAACTTCTGAAAAAGTATAAAAAATAAAAGATCATGAGATTATAACCTACTAAAATAATGGATCATGAAATTGTAACAAACTATAGATAATAGAACTTGACAATGAATACATATATGGTCAACAGATCAAGAAATTGTAAACAACTATGTATAACAACAGATCATGTGAATGTAACCAACTATAAATAAGTTACAGATCATGAGATTGTAACTATTGAAAATATCATGAAATTTTAACCAATTAGAGATAACAGATCATAAGATACAGTACCCAACTGTATATACATGTAAGAGATCATGAGACTGTAATGAGTGACAGATAACAGATATGAATTCTGATAACAAACTACACTGAATTCATTGAGTCTTCAAATTATCCCTGCACTCAAATCACTGGAACATTTAAGAACCCCATTGTAATGCAAACAGAATGATCAACAAATATTAAATGAATGGAAAATAAACACAGAAAAAATGATGAGCAAATGCAGCATAAGCAAAGAATGGATACTTTAATGTTTTACGGTCTGTCTGTATTCTCAATTTCAAGGTTTAGTTGCCCATCAATAAGATTAGAAAATTGCACATCTTTACGCCTAGGCCAAAATGAGTATGTGACAGGCTTTACCTGGGTTCTTCCTCCACCAATAATACTGGCTGCCATGTATAGCCTATTGTGTGCTGAAAAATGGCATTAAACCCTACAACAACAACAACAACAACAACTTTACACCTGTTTGACCCCTCTTTATACCACACAAAGACTCACCTTGATTTCACAAAAAAAAACTTTTGCCTAGGTAAAGTTTATAATTCAGGAATCTGACAGAATGACATTTTCATCTGATCTAATATTCAGCTAATTAAAAAAATCTTAAATTAAACCAAAACTTTACGTACTAGAACAACGAATCGCAAGCAGTACTGAACAAGACGACTCCTACTACTTGTATGTATTTGTTTTGCACTCTATATGCTTTAATGACCAATCTAAGTAAATAAAGAAGTAGATAGGATTTCATTTGATAGATGAAGACTGAAATCTTATCATGATTAAACATCACCATAAATAAAGTACAGATTAAGGTTTATGCCAAGTCTTACAGTTTTGGTATGAAAATACTAAATCAAGATCAAACCATTTTGCAAATTCCTGAACAATCAGTCATAGGTAGATGTATTAAAGAGCTCTAAAAAACCTTTATGCCATACATTAGACAGAATATACCACTTCATTTCATCAACCAGTCATCAAGAAATGCAAATAAATTAGAAAGTGATGGGTTTTACTGGCTTTAGCTGTTTTAATGACAATTTAAACACATTACTGGCTCAATCTTGCTGATGAAGTATATGTACATGTACATTTCCCCATGAATATATCAAGACAGCTGACCTGGACTGGTCTGGGCAGGTATCAAACTTGCAGTGTTCACCATTATGGATGACTGCCATCTTCCTCAGTCTGCATGGGTTCAAGTCTTCGGTTTAGCCAATGAGGGACTATGTGAAAAAGCATGCCAGTAGCTTCTCATGAGTTGGTGTTTCTTTCTGGGATTTTACTGGGTTTTTCCTCAACCGTTTATTCTGGCCACCATGTATAGCCTATCTTGTGCTCAAAAATGGCATCAACCCTATAACACCAACAACAACAGTTCCTTATAATAGAGTGAGGTGTATATGGAAGAAATGCTTAAGAGACTACAAAATTTTGTCCATTATGGTCAAGTGTTTTAGCTCTTTAAATATGTTACATATGCAAGTATCAAGAAGAGATGTTTTTAGACACTGTCCATAATGAGCATGTGTCCTTTATCTGAAGGCATTTGCCATGGCAAGTTTCTGTGTATTATGATCACTATTTCAGTACGAAAAGCCCATTGCTTTAAAGAACAATGGATCTACTTTATCAAATTATGTGATGTGATGTGATTATGATTTTAACGTAGCTTTAACAATTTTTCAGTCATATTGATACAAAGTCTGCAGTGTGGCAGTTTATAGTGATGTCTAGCACTGGGGCATCATGCTGCAGACATGTAGCATGATGTCCCACCCAGTCACATTACCCTGACACCAGGCCGACCAGTCCTAACACTAACCTCTTAATGCCGAGCGCCAAGCCAGGCAGCTGTTTGTATGTGTACCATTTTTGTAAGTCTTTGTTATGACTTGACTGGGGATTGAACCCATGATCTCTCCCATCCAAGGTGAACGCTATAACCACTAGGCAACTGGAACAGTTATTTTATCAAATTATTCATAATATAAAATGCTTACGATAATTAGGTATCCATGTTTTTTCTGTGAGTAGCATGTCAGACTCAAGACCAAAAGAGTCTGAATTTGAATCCTAGCATCAGGTCACCCTGGGTCGGCTACAGTGATGTGCCCTTAGGCAAGGCATGAGTCTTGACTCCAACTGTCTCAGCACTAAATATCCTACTTCTGTTGCTGCAACTTAAGGTACCAAACCAAACCATGGCCCAAGTGGCAGAGTGGACTAAAGCACTGTCCATTACAGATCACTGCCATCTCACCTCTGTATGTGTGAGTTCGAGTCTAAGATTCAGTGAATGTGGATATGTGAGAAAGCTGGCCAGTAGCTTCTCGTGGACTGGTGGTTCTTTCCGGTGATTTCCTGGTTTCTTCCTCCACCATTAATACTGGCTGCCATGTATAGCCTATCGTGTGCTGAAAAATGGTGTTAAGCCCCAAAACAATAACAACAACAACAAAACCAAACCAAAGCAATCATTATAATTAAATGCCCTATGCAAAACCCTGATGTGGTGGGGTGGGGTGGGATGGGGTGGGGTGGGGTGGGGTGGGGCTTCAAAACAATTACATTAGTTTAGCCACAACAATCACAAAGTGATTTCATTCATAAAGGTTTTTCTGTAGGAGATACAACAGCCTGTAAATCATTAAAATGGTATGGTAATAACAGCTAAATCTGGAAAAATGTAAAAGATATGTACACTCAAGACTTACAAAATGACAAGTGTCCTCTCTCTATACAGTTTAAATATCCAAGCAAAATTAAGCAAAGTTTTTAGATACCTATACATTTACCTTTATAAAGAGTCCAACTGCAATGACCCAGATATTTCATCACATAATGTGCCAGCAGATCTTGGTCCGTTCAAGGTTAGGAATAATCAGTAGAACAAATAACATAGACCCTGATCTTCATGTGCATTATGCTACAGCAGATCAGAATCTTTGTTGTTTGCAGTTTGACATGACTTATAAGTGAATATACAGGTGTCAACTTAAACAGATTTGTTTTAATATATGAGCGAATCCTGTTTTACTTTGGTATCCTTTATCTTCCTTGAGTTATTTTTGTACAGGTCTTTATATACATGCATTTACATTTTTAGAACTTGACTTTTATTGGCACCTTATAGCCAGTGTTGTGCTGACATGCCATTAAATCCTACAGCTACAACTTCACTACTTCATTAGCTTACTAATATCACCTACTGGGTAAGTAATCTGCCCATTCAATAATACACAAATATCCATGATACACTGCAAGTTTTTTGCCTCTTTTTAGTCTTGTTTTATATTTCTACATTTCTACTTTTAAAATCTTTGTTGCCATAAATGTCTTAAAACCTTTATTGTATAAATCTGAGTCTTTTAATTCTTCCCTGCATGAAGATGATATGTGAGCTTATTTAAACTGTGTCATAAAATGATTAATTAAGCATGAAAAAGTTCTTTGAAAATCAAAGTCACTTTTTTAAATAAGAGATTGATGGAGAATTTTAAAAAATTCTCATCATTCATGCATCTGAAAAAATCTCTTTTCTCAGCTTGAATTAATAGCAACAAAGTAGTAAAACAATATTTTGGTATTAAAGCAATAAGTACAAAATATTAAGTATATATGGTACTGCCACACAGTATATGATTTATGACATTGCTAACCTTTGTAGTCAGGTGTACAAATCCATTAACACCTGTTGATCACCTGTTGAGATTATCATGGTAATTAAATCTGAAGATGTATTAATGTCAGTTAGTTTTGCAGGTAGTGCTATAAGGTTCATTCATTATTTATGGAAGGCAATTTTTCAGACTTAAAATAATACATCACTAATGTTAACACTATACCTATAATAGGAATGTACAAAGTATCATTTCTACAACCAAAAATATCTAAGAATCTGGATTATCAATAGTGGTTTTGGCAATCACTAGTGGCTGCCATATAGTAATGTGAGATATTATATATCCTGTTATAAACAGTTATTATTATTTATATTTTATGAGCAGTCTACAAATAATTACAGGTAACAAAAATGATTTTTTATGTTGGTAGGTACCTGATATTTGCAAACTGTTAATTAGAAACTAGTTCTATAGGCTGATAGACAAAATTCTAATTCTTTCCAGTCAACCCAAAATAAGAATAACTCCTAAAGACAAGCAATTTAGGTCACACATTACCTTTCCCTTTCATTAAATACCAGCCTTATCCTCTGAAGTCAAATCACTCAAATCATAGATTATTTTATCCAAGCCTGATCAAAAGTTACAGGCTGAAATAAATTGTATAACCACAGTGTAAGCCAGTACCCAAAAAAGCAATCTACAAAGGGACCAGAGTTTAAATTCAATAACCCGTAAAAGCATTTTCTTTTCAACAAATTTTGTATCTGTTGTTAATAACAGGCTCCTTAATAATACTATATTTTTGGCTTTAACATCCAGAGCCTACTTGGGGACCCCGATTGTCGAAGTGGTCTAAAGTGCTCATCCTTACATATCACTGCCATCTCATATCTGAGTCTGAGTCTCAGGCTTGGCTAATGTGGGTACATGAGAAAGCTTACCAATAGCTTCTCATGACTTGGTGGTTCTTCCCAGGGTTTTCCATGGTTCTTCCTCCACCAGTTATACAGGCTGCCATTTATATCCTATCCTGTTATGAAAATGGCATTAAACCCTACAATAACAACAACAATAACAACAATGAATACTTGTCCCACTACCTAATTATTAATTGATTAAATTTATGGTAGTCAGACCCACCCACCTACCCCCAAATGGTACATTGTAGCTTCATTAGATTTGATAAGTTGAAATGCAAAGAAGGTCCTGATCTGTCTTAGCATAATGAGCACACCAGTCAGGGTCTGTCTCCTTTGTTCTACTGATTACTCCTAATAAACTGCACAGACACAGATCTGCTGCACATATTGCACTGGGTCTGCAGTTTGCAATTTGGACTCTACTTATTGGCAAGTATATAATATACTTCAAACAATTCTAGGTCAAAATCATAATTTACAGTTGTTGGATGCTTATTGACACCATATATATGCCAGCTTTCAAGTTGAATCCAACTGCAATCTGAAGACCCAGATCTGCCATTGCATAATGCATCAGGAATTCTAGGCCTATATAGTTTGTTAGGAATAATCTGTAGAACAAACAACTGTTGGACTCATCAGCATGTGTGTGTGTGTGTGTGTGTGTGTGTGTGTGTGTGTGTGTGTGTGTGTGTGCATGTGTGCCTATGTGTGTGTGTGTGCCTATGTGTGTGTGTGCATGTGTGTGCATGTGTGTGTGTGTGTGTGTGTGTGTGTGTTACTCAATGCAACCCAATTTAGGGATCAAAATTCAAAAAAACTTTTTTTTTCATGATGATACATTTGACAAATATGGCTACCCACTGAATACAACAGTACACCAACAAAGTTTCTCCAATGATAAGCAGGATAAATACTATATCTTCATATAGACAAAGCCATAATTAATTAACCTATGAATCCTGGTGAATATGGTATTCAAAAAGGGATAAGGGTGTGGCAGCTAGGGTTGACCAGTATGTATGCATAATCCATTTCCTGTTGCATATTTCACTGACACTATTCTAATAAATACACACCAATACCAGTCAAACTGCAAACAAGGCAGACCCACTTTCACCAACACATAATACATTGATAAACCAAGATGATCTATAATCATTCTACTGATTATTTCTAATAAAATATATAGACCCAGATCTGCCTGCATATCATGTAACTGCAGATCTGGGTCCGGCTTTGTGGCTTGACTACTTTTCAGTACACACAGTATCATTATGATGCATATTTTGCAGCTGAGTGTGCTAGTACAAATGCAGTACATACAACCTTGAAAGGCACAAAAATGAAAACATTAATATTATCAATCAAGATCTTTCTGAAAGCACTTGACAAATTAGCTTGGTCTTATCATCATTTAGCAGCACACAAAATTAGCTGTTAGTTATGAACTTTTGGCAGTAGAACATAATTAGTTGTATACATTATAAATCAACATCTCTTAAATTGTGCTTTTGACATATTAGATGGTCCTTACCATCACCAGTACATGAAATTCATTGCAACTAATCAAGTTCTGGCAACTGTCAACATAATACAAGGACACATCAGAGACTCTCATATTAAAAAAAAAATTATAAATCTTTAATGTAGGGGCAGTTTTGGAATTCATATACAATTCTAAATAATGACTGAAGGGGCAGTTTTGGAATTTAGAATCATACATATTCAGAGACTGGCCAAAATCATAAAACTCTGTCAGTCCCAGAATTAATATAAATTTCTTTTTAGCCAGGACTAGTAATTCCCAAGCTGACTGAAAACATATGAAACTTACCCTCCAACTACTGAAACTATGAAAACTACAATGATGACAGGGAATTTGTTAGTCTTCTGCCAGTGGACTACCATTAATTTTGAGCCCTGTTCTTTGGTACTAAATTTAATTTAGGCATACGCCCTTGTACAACATACTGAATGGGCAGATCAGTGCATTTGATATACAGAGTGAAGGGTCTTGACCATCATAGGAACCTCAAACAGTGCACTGGTTAGCTGACTGAAAAAGCATTTTTTTGCCCCAGTGTATTGACAAATCTGTCCAACTGGCCAACATAATCACAGTGCACAGACAGATCTGTCATTTAACACTTCTAGAACTCTTACACATAACCAGATCAAATTTAGTGGGTGACCTGCCTATTACATGTAGCTGTGGGTTGTTTTTTTAAAAAGTTTCATCCTTGATGCAGTTATTTCCTTTTCTTTTTCATCAAAACTAAGTTTCCATTACAACACATTATTGTAACCTATTGCACTTAGGAATAAATACTGTATTCAACTCCAACTGTAAACTGCAAAGACACATCTGCCAGCACATCATGCAATGACAGATCAGGGTGTGTGCAGTTTGTTT